ATTTAAAAAAAATCAGCTTTTTATTAAATAATGGTTCTGAGTTAACTGTCCCATCCCGCACGGCTATAAACTGTTGTAACTACAAATGCTCGTCCGTTGAGAGAATGTGCCATCAGCTCATCTGAGTGAGCTACAACAAATCAATATCAAATTGGGAAAGTCATTTGTCTTTAACGTTACACAGGGAAAAAGTCTCTAGTTCAAAAATAACAACCAATGCTTTGTTTATCTTTCTTCCTACAGATGTATGTGTTTTGGAGTTCAAAGGGTACCCACAGATTATCTACCTTAGTAATCCTCACATCGAGGGCTGCTAAAACTGGTTTCTGCCAAGCAGAATGCTCAGAAGAAGAGAAGAAGGAACGACATCTACTGTTAACATCATTAAAAACACAAGAGTGTGGGCTGGGCGTGGTGGCTCACACCTGTAATCCCAGCACTTTGGGAGGCCAAGGCAGGCAGATCACCTGAGGTCAGGAGTTCGAGACCAGCCTAGCCAACACAGTGAAGGTTTGTCTCTACTAAAAATACAAAAATATTATCCAGGAATGATGGTGCTCACCTATACCCCCAGCTACTTGGGGGACTGAGGCAGGAGAATCACTCGAACCGAGGAGGTGGAGGTTGCAGTGAGCTGAGATCACGCCAACCTGGGTAACACAGCAAAATGCCATCTCAAAAAACAAAAACAAAAAAACTTAACTCTCTTAAGTCTTATAATTAGAGGAGTCCTCCATCACTGTGGCAGAAAAAAAGGAAAAATCACCTAGGTAGATAGTGAAGGCTGGTCCTTGGAGAAGCAGCTGGCCTGAAAAATCACAGCTACAGGCAAAAATAGAGCAGCCTGGGGAAACTTAGGCTGCACCTGCACAGATGAGAAGGCGGGTTCCAGCACAGAAGGCTTTTGTTCTTCATGTGATTAGCGAGCTCCCAGGAAAAAGCTTCCTCCCTCTTTCAGGCATATACATGGTGGGCTCCTTGGGAACTCACACAGGGAGGAGGGGGGCTTCCCTAAACAAACCCACAGTTACACAAACAAGAGAAGTAGTGCTTTGTATTTGCCTAGGGACATACCCATAACTACATAAATAAGGGATAGTGATTCAGACTGCTTTACAGATTAGAAAAGTTATTCAAACAGCTACAGAGATAAGAGGAGTTTCTCATAAAGCTTTTGAATTAAACTGTAAAAGCAGCAACTCATTCGGGCGCCCCTCTCTGCTGAGGAAAGCTTGATTCTCTTGCTTATTAAACTTTCACTCCAACCTCACCCTTTGTGGCCATGCTCCTTAATTCTCTTGGTTGTGAGACAACGAGCTTGGATAACAACTTAGACAACTGAAGCAGTGACCCTGACCTGTTTCATCACCAAATTGCAAGTTTCCTGAGGGTGTCGGAGAAATTCTCCCATTCTCTGCCAGTGTCTCTCTCTTCCTGCACTTCCTGAATGCATAGTTGATGCCCTGACAGTGAGCAGGGGTGAGGGTCATAGTGAACAGGACTTTGGGTGAATCTGACACAGTCAGAGGGCATGGATTTCTTGCTTTGCCCAGTGTTTGTTTTTATTTTTATGTTTTAACATCTGGATCTTTGGGTGGAACTTGCCCTCTTTGGTTCACCAAAACCTTGAACATTTTCTATCACCATGACAGGGTCCTACCAGGAAACAGATGTTGTTTGGAGAAGAACCCAGTGAGGCAGGACTACTTTCAAAGGCTCTGCTTAGAAATGAGTGAATCTGGGGACCCTACCAGGGACAGGGCAGTGGGGTGGGAAGGAATCATCACTGAGCTGTGACCACTTTCTAGGCTGGAGGCAACAAGGGGCAAAACTTGGTGCTGAAATCCAGAGGGAGAGGAATGCATAAGGTCTCCCTTTGCAAAGACCTGTGACCTTTGGTTTTTGTGTCTTGGAGCAGAGCCAGCTTGAGGGGACCGCAGGAGGCAGCTCAGCCTCCCATGCATGCCCAGTGCTTCCCATGGGCGGAATACTGGAGCTTCTAGCAGGGTTCACCCCTGTCTGGCTTTAGTGAAGGCAGCACTGAATGAAAACTTCCTAACAGGACAGCCTCCACTCTACAGTGAACAGATAATTCCCTGACTGCTGTTGTTACTTTACTCCAAGAGGAGTCTCATGAGGAAGAAAGATCCTAAACGAACAAAAACATCCAGTTTACAGAATAAAAGCATACTAAGATGGAAGTAAACAGAGGGGGCTGTGGACCAAGAGCTAACAGACCCTGAGCTAGACATTTTCCATAAACAATTTTGCCATATACACAAGAAAACCCTTAGTTGGGGAAACAATTGCATCACTTCTGCAAGAGAGGCTTGTGTGCTTGGACCTAATGTCTAGAATATCGAGAGCTGTGGTCTCCCAGAGGAACCTAGATCTTGGGGTGAAGCAGAAGTGGAGAGACTCAAGTTAGTGGAATGGCTTGAAAAGGAATGAGGCCTCCACTGAAGGCCGCAGCACTTCTCTCCCTGTAGACAAGATGAAATCCTCCTGTCAGCAACAGGCATCTGTGCAGCCAGTATCACCGTGGGTATCAAGAACGTAAGGTACCTTCACATGCAATCTCTTGCAGACAGCAAGGGATTCATCAGGAGCCGACAGAGAAAACAGGGCTGGAGCGGACCGGCTCAGGCATGCAGGATGGGCTGGAACATGACCTGGCCTGGGCACACCTTCCCTACCCCCCATGCCACATGCTTCACTTCCCTCCATTTTCATGTGGAAGGCTCCTAAGAGGTACAGAACACCCACCGCATGCCACACGCTGAAACGGGCCGTTTACACATTTCTTGATTGATTTGTGCGACAACCCTGTGGAAAGGATTACTATTTTATGAATAATTTTTTAAGCGATGCCATTTGAACTTGAATAAGGCACACACGTGCACAGCTGTGGAATCCTTGCAGCTCTCACTTCAAACCCTACGTCCTCTCCTCGGTGAACCAATTTCATTTTCTCCATAATACCTTTCTCTGAAATAACACATTACCATTGATTACCTTCTCGCCTTAGAAGGCTCACGGTTTCCATTCCTCATCTTCACTAATGATTAATTCCCATGTCTGACAAAAAAGTAGTTTAAAACTGTTAAAAGAAAGGACAGAACGCTTTCCAATACCAGACGAGTCATTATGCATATGTCAATTTGTGTTCAGATGAGGATAGAAGAGATATTCTCCTTATTAAAAAAGAAAAAGAAAAGCTCTGCCTAAATGTTACAACAGCAGCAAAATCTGATGCCCAATTGATCGGATATCAGACATGATATTGATTTAAATAAGAGTTTCGCTGGATATATGGTTCTACATTGAACTTTAGATCATTTCTTCAGGGTTTTATCATAAAAATCATTTTCAAAATATTGTAATACTGTATCTTCCTCTACAGAACATTCTACACTAAAAGTTAACAATATCAAAATATTAAAATTGGATTAAAAGAAACCCAAAGCATTTATTTTTTTGGCTGTTTCTGTTTTTTTCTCTCTTGAGTTTTCCCATCCTTTTTCAGTCCAATTTCATTAAAGGGTGACTGGCTGTGTCTATTCAATAGAAAGTGCCATACAAACATCTATAGGGATTGATTTTGTTTTCTTGGAAGGGGGAGAGATGTAAGGACCAGAGTATTAGTTAGAATGTGGTGGCTCCTGCCTACCTCTGAGGCCCAGGGGACAGATTTATCTCTCTGTCCTCCCAAGCTGCAGAGGACTGAGCACAGACTATGAATTACTGTCACAAAAGCCATTGTCAGAAAACCCTAAAGTGTTGAAGATGTAGGTCAATCTACAGCATCGTTTTCAAAAGTTTTTGATTATTTGTTTTTATTTAATTTTTAGCAGAATATTTGCTGCATATAAAACCTCAGGCAGAAGCCTGCTCTAGCATGCAGATGTAGATAGAGTTGGTTGACCCGAGGGAATTCAGATGCCCATCCCAGCCCCTTTGCTAACTCCTAGGCAATGGAGAAACCACAGCACAGAGGCAAAACACCAGGGACAGGCACACCCACAGAGCAAGCCTGGATCACATGAAAAGACTGCTAGGGAAGCAACCCAACGAAGAAAACACAACCCAACTGGTGGAAAGTTCTAGAAGGAGCCTGAGCAGAAAACGATCCCTACTGGAGGTCGACCCACTTGGTATCTCAGTAGGGGATACTCATCTTCTGTTTGTTAGAAAAGCAAACCTACAGTGAAGCTGGTATCCAGTAACTGTTATGACACGAGCAAGGCCGTGGGGGGAGAAAAAACGGGGGAGACCTGACTGCACCTGCAGAGAAAGAAGGGGTCGCACAGCGAGTCTCCAAGGAGCGTACGGGCTGTTGGCTTTCAGCCAAGTGACACGGGGCCCTTCTGGCAGAGAAGCACCATGACGCAGTCTAGGCATGCCAGGAGTTCCCGTGGCTGAGAGATGAGGGGCATCGAGGAAAAGGCACCAGAATGGCAGGTGAGGCAGACACCTTCATCCCTCTCACAGCTACTGATCGGGTGTCCTGGGCACATGCAGGAGTCATCAGCAAGACACACACGTCTGAGATCTTGCTTTCTCTTTGGAAGGATGTAGCCCTTTCCCCAAAGCTATTTTGCTCTCCAGGAAGTGAATGATCAATCACATTTTCATAGACAAAAGACTAGAACAGACTTCTCCTTTCCAGGGATCAGTCTGGTGTGTGTGGAGTGTGTTAGGATGAAGAGAGACTGGTATGAAAATGCCAGACCGTGTCACGTTTACGTAAGAGACACATCTAGGGGATCCAGTCTCATCTGGTGATCAGGGCAGATGTGAACCACCAGAACCTTCCTCCTTAGCAATGTGGAGTCAGGGCATGTTCTTTCTCCCAGAAGATACTTTCGGATGCAGAAAAGAGGGAAGAGACAAAGTGGGGAAGGCAGTGGGTGAGATCGCCTTTCCTTCACTGCCCTGCTCACTCCCCTGCTCCCCCTTAGGCGCCTGTCGGGCCTCGTATAGGAAGGAAAGGGACTCACAGACTGAGTTTTTGTGGCTTCCGTCCTTGCCGGGCAGCATCTTGACTCCTCTCGACTTCAACTCAATCGCCTTTTTCACTGGAAGAAACAAAACAGGCCATTAGTAGGTACGACTTGGAGATCATAAAACAATGTTTTATCCTCACAGCGTTCCACGTCGTAATTGCTTTCTATCAATCCCCGAAAATGGAAAGTGTTCTAGGAGGTGAATGACACCAAGTGACTGACGGCAAAGAGCTTGTAAACGATTAATGCGAGGCTATCGAGCAGCACGGTCACATCTCACGAAAACAGTGTCAGAAGCTAAAAGCATCACGTGCTGCTGCTGACTTTTCATTCAATCCTATTCACGGTGGGTGTGGCAGATCCCACAAATCATCCTCGTTTCCCCAAAGTGTTCAGACAGATCACTCTCTCGATGCATGTGTCCTGACTACAGAGTTGTCTAAATTTGCTATACTCATGAAAAAGTTTAGATAAAAACGCCAGTTGCTCATTCATGGATTCATACGTTCACTTAGTCATTTAAAGTTTGCAGAGCTTATAGCTTGAAGTGAACGCCAAGAATGACGCACTCAGACAGTTCCAGCTGAGCGAGGATGGGGGTAGCTCTTCTGAGAGAGTCTGCCCCAGCATCCATCCACCGAGTATTTATGAAAAGAGCTTGTATTAACTACAAACACCTGGTAGACGGTCATTTGAGGTGGGCTGCTGAGACACCTGCGACCTTGTACACACTCAAACTGCATTCTCAGCAGGCTGTTTTCAGTGTTCCTTATCACACCACGCACTCCACTCCCTGTCCTGTTTCAGGGTCAAGGAGCTTCATTCCCAGGCACAAATAACATACACAGTGCCCCAGTCATTTTCCATACCCCGGCCTCAAATGCCACGCACAAAAGCTGGAATATGTTGCTGTGAAGCCCCCTCAAACTTTAGCGAATCTGTAAGGATGGGGAGCAAGTAGAGGAAAGGCATGCTCTGAGTGCTGTCCACAAAATGCTATGCACTGCCAGTCCCTCCGTACACTTTCCCGGCAGTGCAAAAGGCACATAGGATCCTGGTTTCTAGCGTCATAATTCTAAGAGTTAAAGATGTTTCTTGAGTTATGAGGTCCTGCCTTAAACATTTTAGTAAGTTTCTTTTTTTTTTTTTTTCCATTTAGGAAAAACCATGGGGGATGCATCTTGTGGTTATAAAATGTTATGATCTTCTAGGCAACCCCACACTTGGCTTTACTAAGAGGCCAATGGAAACATTTCTGGGGTCCCCATATGATACTGGACCTACAGCAGCTGCCAGCAGGCAGATCGGTTGCAAACCTTTGCCTACGATGCGGTGGCCCCATGACCCGGGTAAGTTAGTTCCACCTGAGACTGACTGACTGTGCAAATAGGTGTCACGGTTAGCTTTAAATGTGAACCTGACTGCACCGCGGGGTGCTCAGGCATTGAACCACACAAGATTCCAGGTGTGCCTGAGAGGATGTTTCGGATGATATCAACGTTTGAATCAGCAGACAGAATTGCAGACGGCTCTCCCCAGTGTGGTGGGCCTGGTCCAATCAGCTGAAGGTCAAAATAGAACAGAAGGCTGGCTTTCCCTGGAGGAAGAAAGACTCTTTCCTGTCTGATGGGCTTTAAATTGAAACAGCATTTTTTTTTTTTTTTTTTGTGCTGACTCACCCCTTGGGAGGTCTTTGGTCTTGTGAGCCTCCATAATCACGTGAATCCTTATAGTAAAAGTGTGTGTGTGTGTACACATGCATGTAAGGAGATTTATACAGACATGAAGTACATACAGGGGACCCCTGCAGCATGCAAGGATTGAGGCACTGACTACTCTCCCACCACACGCAGCCGAAAACCTTCATCTATCTTTTCGCTTCCCCAAAGAGCTAACTGAAAATAGCCTGCTGTTGACCAGATGCCTTGTTGATAACATACACAGTTGCTTACCACATAGATTCGTATCTACATACGCTTTACACATTCATGACACACCTTTTTCAGATTTTTTTTTCCCAATATCTTTAGGCTATTTAGATATTTTCCTATAGCAGCCCCAAAAGACTAAGGCAAGCACTTTTCCTGGGTATTTTACAAGGGTGAGAAGGAGAAGCAAGAGACTGGAAGGAATACATGAACCTTGAGGAGCTCTTCCCCGCAGCGCGGCTTAGGAGTGAGGAAATAAGCCCAGCGTGGTTACATGGCTCAAACAAATTGTCATCACAGCCATGACTGGACCACAGGGATCGTGGTGTCGACTGTGCTCACAAATGGAAGACGAGGAGATGGGCCATCTAGATCCCCCTCCAAGGAAGGGCTGGCCAGAGGGTCACTGTCCATCCTCAGCCCCTTTCAGAGAAGGGCCAGAGATAGACAGTCACCCCTCCCAGGTCCAGGGCCAACCCCATCCAAAAGGCATCGAGTCACAAATATCCTGCACTAAGGAACTCTCAGAGAGTCACTCACAGTGGTGCAGCCACAGCACCTGACGTCTTCCTCCCCTTCTCTTCTGCCCCCTCATTTGTGTTTTTTTTTTTCATCCTCATCTCCCTGTTGTGGTGACTGATACCACAGGAAAGGGAACACAAGATGCGGATCTGCTTCGCTACTGCAGTGCTGCTGGCTGCACACCCAGCTGCCTTCTGCAAGATTCTCCCCAGGACAATGTTTTCATCCAAAATGGCAAATGTGTCATCCCTACTTTCTTGTGCTGAAATAACTTTATCTTGAAGTTACTCAAGAGAGAGGAGATGAATGCACAATAAATAATGAACAAGAAAATCAATGGGAAATAATAAAGAGCATAAACTCCAAGCATACGCCACCCACTCTAAACAGATAAGATGCACAGAACGCCATTCACTCAGAATAGAAACAGAAATTCCAGTAATCTCTGGGGGACGATCACGGTACAGGAATACACAGGACCTATCCGAGAGCTGGATAAGCTAATACATTTCATACTCTTGCAAATGAGTGTTTGATGCTCGGTAAAGCTAAATTTCCACCAGGGAATATATGTATTTATTTATTATTTTTCAATAAGATGCTGTTACACTGCTGTAGAAGATCTGTTCCCTGAGCTGTAATTCTCTTATTGAACAGCTCTGCTAATCTTGGAGACGTTGTACAAAAAGGGGAGGTGACTTGTGCATCCTGGGTCCACCAGGTGTCTTGACACTTCTCCCCACGTTTCCTTTGGGTCCTCCGCTTTTCTTCCTTCCACACCCTTCCTCTTCCTCCTTCCAACTTGCCTCAGAGCTGAGCAGAGAGAGATTTTCATTTGCAAAGTAATAGGAGAGAGAGAGACAGACAGAGAGAGACAGAGAGACAGAGAGAGAGAGACAGAGAGAGAGAGAGAGAGAGAGAGAGAGAGAGAGAGAGAGAGAAGAGAAGAGAAAGAGAGAGAGAGGAGAAAACTGGAGCTGCTGGTTCTTATAAGTCACCCATGGCAAATCCCTGCAATAGCCTGTACTTTCCCCTGAATTAATCTATTCAGTCATTCATTCTTACATCTTGGAATGAAAGATAAAAATCTCTTGTGATTGATAAAAAAGATAATTTTTGTGTCTAATATCAGACCTACTAAATCACAGCCTTTAGAGCTGAGCTTGGTCCTTTTAGCTGTATTTTGTCAGTTCAGACCAGTTTTTGTATGAGGTTTTTTGTTTGATTTTTGGAAGGTAACTTCAATACACACTAAAGTTAGTCTCACGTTCCCTGGTCTCTCTGGCTAAGATGATTCCTCAGTAATTCAGATTCAACAATTACAAATAGATTGTGCTCTCCAGGGGCCAGGGCTGGGGGAACTGGGGAGATTGACAATTTCAGATTGACAGAAAGAGTAGGTTCAAGAGATCCCTGGTACCTCATAGTGAGTATAGTTAATAAAAATGTACTGTGTGCTTCAAAGTTGCTGAGAGTTGATGTTAAGTTTTCTAATTGCATCAAGAAAGTATGTGAGATTAAAAAACATTCCCCAAAACCAACAAACAAAAACCTGAAATAGATATGATCAATCTCTTTTCTCATAACAGCATTTAGGAAGGTAAATTCTGGGGGAAATATTTTTAGTTTAAAGGCTGAAAAGATCAAAAAACACAACAATAAATATACCTAAGGGATACATTGATTTTGTTTGCTGTTTTATTTAATTTAGTTTGTTTTCTCTTTTTTTCTCCTACACAGCTGCCTTCATCATAATCTCTCAAGGGTTAGGTTAAAACACACTTTTTGTAGGTTGTTTGAAAATTTGAGGAAACTGTTACTATGCTGGAATGACAATGGACTCTTTTATTTTTATTTTTTAAGACAATCTCACTCTTGTCGCCCAGGCTAGAATGCAGTGAAGCAATCTCAGCTAACTACAACCTCCACCTCCCGGGCTCAAGATATTCTCCTGCCTCAGGTTCCCGAGTAGGTGGGATTACAGGCGCCCACCACCATGCCCTGCTAATTTGTGTACTTTTAGTGGAGATGGTGTTATGCCACGTTGGTCAGGCTGGTCTCGAACTCCTGACCTCAGGTGATCTACCCACTTCAGCCTCCAAAAGTGCTGGGATTACAGGTGTGAGTCACTGTGCCCAGCCGACAACGAGTTATTATTTTTTTAAAGTGACAATAATGTAAGAAGTGAACATAATTATTTCTACTTGTTGCCACTACTTTCTCTGCATTCCCTAGGCAGAGCGTTCTGCCCTCTTCCTCTGCTGGTAAAGCTCAGCCTGCTCCCTGATGCCTGCCTGTCATCCACGTACTGGTCCCCCACAGCCAGATGCTCACATTCCTCAGGATCCACTGAGCTTCCAAGACCTCTCTAAGGAAGCCAAGTCCTATTGCCTGCTCTTAGTACAGACGTACTTTCCTGCATTTGAGAATACAATTGAGTGTCTAAAAGGCAGCACTGTTTACAAGAGCAAAGACTTGGATCCAACCCAAATGCCCATCAATGGTAGACTGGATAAAGAAAATGTGGCACATGTACACCATGGAATACTATGCAGCCATAAAAAAGGATGAGTTCATGTACTTTGCAGGGACATGGATGAAGCTGGAAACCATCATTCTCAG